AGAGACATAGAGACAGAAAGTGAGAAATCACCCCCCAGGGAGGATGGTCACGGCACAATCCCTTCTCCTCCACTCTCCTCTCGGGATCTTGGGCGTGCATGCGCACGTGCCCAGCATGAGTTTTAAGCTACCGGGTCCAGGAAGCGAACCACGGTCGACTACGTGGGCGTCCAGAGACATAGACATTACGCTAACTGCTGGTTTCCCCCCAAAAAACCAAACTCTCAAAAAAAAATAAATAAATAACACTGAGAAGAGAGATACTAAGGAGAAGAAATCTGAAGCCTAGAAGGCTGATGCCAGTGACAAGGTCAAAAAGAGTAACCTCAAGGCCAAAAAAGCCCAAGAAGGGGAAGCCCCATTGCAGCCAAAACCCAGTCCTAGACTGGGGCATCGGCAGATACTCCCAATCTGCCATGTATTCCAGGAAGGCCATGGACAAGAGGAAATATTCCATCCCTAAACTCAGGATTGAAAAGGAAAAGAAGGTTCTTCCCACTGTTACAAAACCAGCTGATGGAGACAAGAATGGTGGTTAAACAGCGCAAACTGCCTAGGTATTATCCTACTGGAGATGTGCCTTGAAAGCTGTTGAGCCACGGCAGAAAACCCTTCAGTCAGCATGTGAGAAAGCTGCGAGCTAGCATCACTCCGGGGACCATTCTGACCATCCTCACTCTCACGGGACGCCACAGAGGCAGGAGAGTGGTTTTCCTGAAGCAGCTGAGCAGTGGCTTGCTACTTGTAACTGGACCGCTGGTCCTAAATTGAGTTCCACTGCATAGAATACACCAGACGTTTGTCATCGCCACCTCCATGAAAACTGATATTAGCCAAGTGAAACTTGCAGAACACCTCACTGATGCTTATGTTGAGAATAAGAAGTTGTGTGGGACTGGCAGATGGTATGGTGGTTGAGGCGCTGAACTTCCATGAAGCTGACCACTGTTTGAATCCTGGACCTGGTGGCTTGCTTTCTCACTCTCTTTCTCTCTCTCAGACCTGGTGGCTTGCTTTCTTACGCTCTCTTTGTCTCTCTGGCCAAATTAAAAAATAAGAATAAATAAAATAAAATAAATAATTCTTTAAAAAAAAGAAAAAGAGGGGGCCAGCAGGTGGCATGGTGGTTAAAGGCGCTGGACTCCCACTTAGCTGACCATGGTTTGAGTCCTGGACATGGTGGCTTGCTTTCTCACTTTCTCTCTCTCTCTCTGTCTCACTCTGGTCAAATTAAAAAAATAATGATAAATAAAATAAAGGAAATAATTCTCTAAAAAAAGAAAAGAAAGAAAAAAAGAAGCTGCAGAAGCCCAGACATAGGAAGGTAAGAGATCTTTGACACAGGGAAGAGGAAATATGAGATTATAGAGCAGGGCAGGGATGATCAGAAAGTTGTGGACTCAAATTTTACCAAAAATCAAGGCTGTTCCTCAGCTCCAGGGCTATCTGTGATCCAAGTTTGCCCTTACAAATAGAGTTTATCCTCACAAATTGGTGTTCTAAGTTTCTTGCCAAGAACCTCCAAGAACCTAAATAAATGATAAGTATAAAAAAAAATAATTCTTTAAAAAAAAAAAAGGAAAAAAGAGAGACATCAAAGGAATGTGTCAAAAAGAAGTGGTCAGAGTCAGCCAGTAGAGTAGTGGTTAAGGGAGCTGGATCCTACACGGCCAACTGCATGGTTTGAATCCCAGCACAGTGGCTTGAAAACCATGCCAAGTGCATATGCGTATGTGCCAAAAATCCTGAAAGGGGGGAGAAATGGAGGAACAGGAATTGAAGGATGGTCATCCCCACATGGACTTGATGCTTTCTCACTTCTCTCCCTGGCAAGTGTATGTGCCCTCTGGCAAATTTTTAAAAAAAAGAATTAAAAAAAAAAAAGTCTCAGGGGGACCAGCAATTAGCGTAATGGCTGGTGTTGCTGGACTCCCATGTAGTTGACCATGGTTTGAGTCTCAGACCCGGTAGCTTAAAATCACGCCGGGCGTGTGTGCGTGCATGCCCAAGATCCCGAGAGAATAGAGGAAAGGGGATTGTGGCGTGGCCATCCCCCCTGGGGGGTGATTTCTTGCTTTCTGTCTCTCTGTCTCTGTCGTTCTGGCGAGCGCACGTGATCTATAGCAAAAAACCTCTCCAAAAAAAATGTCTCAGGGCCAGCAGGTGGTGTGGTGGTTAAGGCCCTGGACTCCCACATGGCCAACCATGGTTCTAGTCCTGGACCTGGCGCCTTGAAAAATCACACTGGGCATGTGTGTGTACATGCCCAGATTGCCAGGAGGAGAATGGTGGAGAAAGGATTGCAGTGTGATCATCCGCAATGGGGGGTGATTTCTCACTTTCCCTCTTTCTGTCTCTTTAGTGAGTAAACTTGTCCTATGACAAAAACCTAAAAACAAAAACAAACAAAAAAGTAAACACAAGGCTCAGAGAAAAGTCCAGCACTGTCCAGGGGAGGGGAATTAATAATCTGGACACTAGAGAGACAGCCTGTTATGAATAAGCATGGCTCAGGACCAGCAGTTAGCGTAATGGCTATGTTGCTGAACTCCCATGTAGTCGACCGTGGTTCGAGTCCTGGACCCAGTGGCTTAAACTCACGCTGGGCGCGTGTGCGTGCGTGCCCAAGAT